ATTGTGGTGCAGAGTAATCTTCACCAAACGAGACTCTGGCAGCAATAGCACCTTCATGAAGCAATCACCCTCTCGTACAGGAGATCATTGTTGACTATTGTAAATTGGTGCTTCAATAAACTGTCATAAATTAATTAATTAAACTGCGTGATTAAATTATTCCCTTTTCTTTCCTAAGCGAAGCAGATTTATTCTTATCTCTATTTATGAACCCCTAACATTGAACATAAGACTGTATAAAAAGTGTTCGAGTTATATGGCGCATTTGAACTCGTCTGTCAAAAAATTGGCGCATGGTATGCAAAAGGTTGGCCACCCCTGAATTATGGTATGATATAATAGAAGGCATTATGTTAACGAAGCATCATTATAATAAGATAGTAGAAAAATGGCCCACTAGTGGCCAACCGGTTCAGTTTCCCGAACACTAGTAGTACAGTCATGGGTTTGCGCCTGTCCAGTACGGGCTGGCCACGTGGAATTTTCCTGTTTTTCCACGTTTTTAACGCCTAAATAGGGACTAGTTTCCCTTAAAAGATCTTTCAGAAGGCATTTCCCTAGGCTCTTCGGAGGATAAGCAACTACGCAATAACTTCTATTTTATTCCCGGTACAAGAGATAGAAAATTATTTTTTAATTTATACGAAATAGTAAAGGATAAATGTTAGTAATTATTGGACTTCGAACTCACATTTGAGTTATAAATAAGCATTTGGCTTTATTTCCATCATTTTTAGTTGATACGTGACAACAGCACGTTTCGGGCAAAAAGCCCCTCATCAGTCAAGTAAAAAAATACAATTTTTAAAAACATTACATAAAATATCTTACAAAACAGAATTAAAATAATGTATATTTCTTACCATATTCATTTTTAATCTGTTATACATAGAAGGTCTTAATTGGCGCGCACAACTTATTTTACAATAAGTGGAGTAATTTCATTAAAATTTGTTATAAATGATCTTTTATATATTTGACAGTATCCAGGAGTCTTAGACACAATCACATACACATCTCAAAATCGAAATAGACAATTTTTTACATTATTGTTTTTTAACCGTACCTGCGTTACATACTGTATTGCAGTGTTGTACTGATTTGCATATTACAAAGGAAGTTATTATTAATATTAACAACAGCATAACTCTTATAGATAATTACAATCGACATTAATGTATATTGCGTATATTATAATATTTTCATCCAATTCTCATTTATTTTTACACTTAAATTTTTGTTGATACAATTTTTGGCTGTTAAGATTGAGACACTTTCTTTAAATTTTCTATTATACATATTTTTCTCTTTGTATAGGATTTTAACATTATTTTTATCTATATTACAGTCATTTATTAAACAATGGTCATGAAAAACAGAGTTTAGTCGATTATATTTGAGATCTGCAATATGTTCTTTTACTGGTATACTCAGTTTGCGTTTAATTTCTCCTATATAGTAGTTAGTTGTATTACAGGTACAGTACATGGTATCTTACTGTATACACTACATTCTTTGTTTCTTGTTCTTTATTATCTACTTTATTAGGTTTTACCAGTTTTAATCTATTTTCTAATTTTTCGTATTTCGGGGCTATTTTTGCGTTTATTTTCTGTAAGTCTGTTGATATTCTCATACAGTCCTTTTATATATGGAAAATTGATATATTTTGTATCTATCAATATATTTGGCTTTTTTGATTTTTTATTATTCGCTTTACTATTTATCTTGTTTTCCCAGCGATCTATTAAACTATTGAGAACAAATTTCTTTTTTAGTTATTTTATTTAAACATTTATATCTGTAAGATTGCTAGTTCTTGTCTTAATTTTTATGTATTCCATTTTAAAAATGTTATATTTTACATATGAAGGAATATTAGAGTCATATCGAATTATTACATCTATAGAGCAACGGTGGGCAACCCCCGGCCCGCGGGCCAGCTACGGCCCGCGAAAAGTTTCTATTTGGCCCGCGAGATGTTTAGAAGAAATTATAAATAAATATTTTTCGATGTAATTCGTCTAGTTTAAATTGAATATTATTTTCTGAAGTGTTGTGGGAGCAATGACAGGAAAAAATAAGGGAGTCATTTCCTTATTCAAACAAAAAATGGGAGAAAAGAATTTTTCTACATTATTTATATCTTATCGCATCATCCATCAAGAAAATCTATGTGCAAAAGCTATGCAATTAGAAAATGTAATATCTGTCGTATCCAACTACATAGTGCTGTTTTTATTGTGTTTAAAGTCACTTAGATTTTACAAATAGGTGAGCCGTTCACAGCCCGGCACACGCATTTGTAAAATCTAAGTGACTCATACAACATGGAATTCATATAAAACGGAATAATCAACAGTGTTATAGGGGGGTCGACTGTAGTAATTAATTTCTTTTTATTTATTTATTTATTTATTTCATATTTGCAGACTAAAAATTTACAGGTCACAAGGTGTCAATTAACTACTATGGCCCGCGGAAAAAACGTAAAATTTATTCTGGCCCATGTTATAAAAAAGGTTGCCCACCCTTGCTATAGAGCATGGTTTTTTATAGGGTTTAAATTCTAAATTATTCTGTTGTTCCTTTTTATTGTAACATCTAAATAGTTTATACTTTTTTAGTTAGTAATTATGTTGATTATAGTGTTATTGAACAATATTAAATATGTATATTATTTTTACAGAGTGTATTTTTAACATTAGGAATTAGTGAGTTGTTTTTAATGAACTTTTTTAAAATATACGATCTGGAACCATCTGTATACTACATATGGATTTTAAACATTGCTTGGAACCATTACTTTTACTTTCCGGCTGCGTATATATAACCAGGAAAAGTAATGGAATCGTGTCAAATTTGCAATCTTTACGTTTCGAGACCTGCTGAACCCAGAAGCGGTAAAAAATTCCATCGATGCGTGTTTTGTCTATTCCATTTAATATATCAAGATGGAATAAAGATAATAAACAAAATTGCGAACACAGTAGCTTGGGTATAAGGAGCATTGAGACTATTAAATTTTGGTGATGGAGGGGGAGGAGAGTTAGAGGATGGCCACGTGTGGTATCTCGCATGAGATTGGGCTTAATGAAGATTTTACTTGTTATTAGCATTTACAGATCTTGATGAAACTAATCTGTACACTCAAAATAGTATTTTATTTAATATATCATGATGAAGTAAAGATTAGTAAACAAAATTTGGAATAGAGTAGCTTGTGTATGCGGTGCATTGAGACTATTAAATTTTGGTGATGGAAGATGGAGGGAAAGGGGAACGCATGAGGTTGGGCTTAATGAAGATTTTACTTGTTATTAGCATTTACAGATCTTGATGAAACTCATCTGTACCCTGAAAATTAAGTCCTTTGCTATTGCATAATGATTAAAAATATATAAAGTTTTTATGAAAAATTTCATAAAAGCCGGGAAAGTTAAGCAACTCGTTACTAGATTTTTTAATATGTAAGAACTGATTCCATTATTGTTTTAAAATGTAAATTATGTATGATATTTAATATAATGAATTCTTGTGTGGAAATATTACTGAAGAGGGAAAGAAAGTATACATCGTTCTGAAAAGCATATGTAAAAATAAATAAAGCGGATAAACTCGTAGTCGATTGAAACCTTTGGACGTTAAAAGTGCTGTCTCGAAATTCTCAAACTTACTTTTTTCTATAAACTTTCAAATAAGAAAGAATTTCAGTACCCAAATTTAAATTATTCAATATTGTCGGTTTCGAGGAGGTACTTAAAAACTCCAGTAATTGTAAGTTTTTAATAATTTTATTGTCGGGAATTTTTATGCTTTTCTTTTTAAACAAATAATTTTGTATCAATTTTAAATTGAAATTTATTAGAGATTGTCGACGGTAAACCTGCTGATGAGGGCCGAAATACAAAGATATCGTGTATGTGTTTAGGTGATAAAGACTGTTTCTCTGACTTTGTTTACTGAATTTGTAGAACCAATTATCTAGTGTAATAAGTCATAATAATAGATAAGTCCTAGTTGACGTTTTAAGTTTATATTAATTTCAGTACCCCTTAGTCACATTGTATATTCGTCAATAAAGTTTTTTAGAATAAGTTAATATTATAGAATAATATAGAATAATAGTTTTTCAGAATAAGTTAATATATTAGGCTAACTTTAGCTTCACACTGACAGTTAATTTCGTCTTCGATAATCAATAGAATCAATACAATTTATTAATCTAACTTAATGATCTACAATCTTGATTAAAGAAGAGAATCTCTTTGCTGATTACATTACAAGGAAAACACAGAAGGAAGATTTCTTACGAAGCACAAGTCAAGATTTCTCAGATATTTCTTACGTGGAAAGAAATTTAATGTGTGTAAATACATATACTTTAATAAGGAATATTAACTGGAATCTCTTTCTTTTTCAGGTTTTCGATGAAGGTTTACTTTTCTGGGGCAAAATGTCGAAGAATTTCCAGAAGAATTAGTTTTAGTTTTAACATATTTAATATGATGTAGATAATATTGTTTTAACCCCATTCTCGTATCTTGTTTTACAGAGCTTTTTGTTATTTACAGATCCATCATTCATCAATTAAGAGCATTTCTAATAAGAGCTGAAGAATGTGTTAAACTTTTGTTTACGGAACACCAAAACTGAAACCGGTGATAAGAATTCATACAAGAATGCATCAAAGGAGAAAGTATATTTCATGCAAAGGACGAAAAGCAGAAAATTGAATGAAGATGATTATCTATATATTATTTTTCAAACTGTATATAAATTGTGTATAGAAAAAATGTATAAATGGCATTTTATTTTGTGATAGTATTTATGCTTGTTGGTAATATATGTAAACATTGGTGTACGCAGTTAGTGTATGGTGTGGTGAAATCACGGAAATATCCTTAAATTATAATTTAAGGATATTTCCGTGATCCTTAAATTTTAATTTAAGGAAACTCGTGAAAAAACTGCAAATTAGTTTTCTATCTGCAGACGAAATGTTAAAAATAGAGTGCTTAAATTTAGATATTTTATTGAGAATAAATTGAAGAGACTTTTGATATTTGCAAAATGCTTTTAATATTTTTACTTATCGTATTTTACAGGTTTAAATAGTCAGAAGGCAAGGAATGGAAGTTATCGATGTGACAGTTGCAAGAAAGAATTCGCTTCGAAGTATAATTTAAAATATCATCAAAGGATTCACACTGGAGAACGGAGTTTCTCTTGCAAATTCTGTAATCGTCAGTTCATCCATCCCAGCAGTCTATGGTACCACGTCAAGACTCACACAGGGGAGAAACCCTTTACCTGTGATCATTGCAAACGAAGTTTTGCAATGAAAAAAACTCTGATTGAGCATCTGCGAACTCACACAGGGGAGAAACCCTTTACCTGTGATCATTGCAAACGAAGTTTTGCAATGAAAAAAACTCTGATTGAGCATCTGCGAACTCACACAGGGGAGAAACCCTTTAGCTGTGATCATTGCAAACGAAGTTTTGCAAAGAGAGGAAATCTGATTGAGCATCTCCGAGTTCATACTGGGGAAAAGCCATTTTCGTGTACTTATTGCTTACATACGTTTCGTTTTAAATGTAATTTAAATAGTCATATTACCAAATGCCATAATAATAATGAATAACGGTATTTGTTTCGGAAGAAACTGTTAACAAAAGTATTTGTTTGTATTAATATTCGTATTTAGATTTTATTCAACGTAAAAACAAGAAACGTTTGAAGTTTTATTTTCTTCATTTGTAATTTTTATATTTTGTAAATTACGTTTGATTTTGTGGAATCGAACAAGGAATGTTTCATAAAATTATTTTTTAATAAATTGAAATTTAAAATACATCATTTAGTATACGTTTATCATTTAATTCGGTAGTCCCTGAAATTCTTAACAATGGCCGATGTTTTGAATCGATAATACAAAGATGATACTAACTTGTGAGATTCTCAATTACGTTTGAAGCATAATTATTTTGTCAAATATTCGTTTATTACATTACAAAATTTGAAAAAATAATTAATTTTTATTTCGAATGAGTATTTATTGACGTTATAATATCTGCTTTTCGTTATAAAATTATTTCGAATGACTAAGATCGTTTATAGTTGAGGACATTGTCGATCTAAAATGGGATCAACTGGCATGAAGGGCTCTGAAAAGAAATGAATCATAATTAGTAAAACGCAAAAATGTATTGAAATGACGCTTTTCGGTAAATTTATTGTTAACTCCCTGTTTGGTTTGACGTAATTATGATACTTTTAAAAACTCACTTTTTCTGTATAATACCATAGTGATATTCTATATTTTATGTTTATAAATGTCCAGAATGAACATTGAAATTTAGGGTTTTCGAATTTTAAATATTGTGTGGCGCCATTAAGTTTTATCTGCTTGTTTGCTTCAAGTGCAGCAAATGCAATGTGGAAAAATATTCAAATTACTGAAGCAGAGAGACGTTTTAGTATATTTTTATCGTAACGATTGAATAGATCGAAAGTTGTTCTCGAACGGAACACAAACCAGGGCTGAATTGAATTTGCTGTCTTCGGTGTTTAGTCAAATTTATTATTACTTTTCCGGCTGTTCTACAGAGGAAAAGGATGGAGATCAGTTTAAAAAGTGTTCCCTTCCCCAGACTTTTAAATTTTTCGACTTAAGACACCTTGAAAGGTGAAAAGCAAAAAAATTCGGGATTTTTTCTGCATGTATGGATGCTAGTCTATGTGTACGTGTGTGGGGGGCAAGATTTTCTTCGCCCTTCTTCTTTGAAGCTTAATAACTTCTGTGTTTTTTGTCGAAAATTTCTTAAATTTCGTAGATTGATTATAACACGTAATGATGTGGTAGAGAAAACCCAAATCTCCACCTGGCATTTCTGTCGACTTCTCATCCTATAGATAAAGAAGATCGAATAACCTTACAAATCAACAATCTTTAACAATGTTTTAAAGGTGTTATAATAGTATTATTTAAATTTTGATAACACATTTAATTACGCATATGCTAATTAGTGAAATATAGAAATATAAACTTTTAAACTTATTTTAATTCTTAATTCAACAAATGAAAAATAGAAAACTACACATACAGATAAAGAAAGATGATTATATTAAACGCACTTTTCTCACTTACGTGATGTTAGAAAAACAAAAGAATAATCCAGAAAAAATAAAATGTTTTTCTAAATGAAATTCGTGGTTTTATAAAGTATAAATTTGAAATAACTTAAACGCATGCACTATATAATGCTACACGTATATTTCAAATACGATTCTGTTAAACAGAAATAAAGAAATTTAGTTAACAGAGTTTCATAATAATTTTTAATATGATTATTGTTTGTGCTATAGAGAAAATTACTAGTTGCTATTGCTTAGCCTATTGTAATTTGTATGTAGTAACCGTACTTCTATAAGCGGGAATTTATAACTGGCAGGTAACCCTCTCCATTACATAACTTATCTTTCTTTCCAAGTGCATTTTAAACACAGATAACGTGCATGTTACATGCATGAATATATTGTAACACAGTCCATTTGTGAATGCTTTGCATTAATAAAATTTTCTTTGTGGGTGCTGAAGACCCAAAGTTCGTAAGTGTCTTAGCGACGATTTGTAAAAGTAACTTGACATATTCAGGACAAGCTGTAGCTTACCTGAAAATTCGTAGGGAATTTTAACCAGAAGCGATTTGTTCCTGGGTTGGCCAGAGTGGTAATCTGATGTTTTCCCACCTAGATTATTTAAATTCTTCTTTTTCTTGTGCCATATCAGGTCATCCCCGATGTCGACGAACACCCGGCCAGTTTAGTGCGGATTAGTTTGCGCGCCAAGTGATGTCCTCGGGAAGTTAGTACAGTACCAGTGTGGTTCCTCGTTGCCTTCTCTGGATACGCGATATTACGCAGGGAGAGAAATGCCATCTGGGGGGTCTTTTAAGGATAACTGGCTCCTATTCAGGCGTTACGGATGTGGAGAAAACCCGGAAAACTCCACGAGCTCAACCCGTCTTGGCGAAGTGCGAACCCATGACCAAACTTACAATGTTCAGAGACAGAATCGCTCGGACACTGGTGGGCCTATCTAAATTACAAAACAATAATTAAAATATAATTCTAAGTACATTTATTTTATAATAAATATATTTACAATTGAAGAGATTGAATGAAGAATATAAGTTCCGAAATGGCTGATTTTGAGTTCTCAGTAATTTTTCCTTTAAGGCATTTGTTCTCACCTGTTCCTACAATAGGAATATTGTAGAAATAGAGATATATCGTGTCTAATTATAATCGTGTCGTATCACAAGCATTCAAAGTTTATTTGTGCAGAATAATTTAGTAAGACCGAGGATATATATTCTTCTTAATTGCTTGTGGAAAAGTGGTAGGATAACAATAGGTACCAGTTCATGCACATTAGCTCTTATGCTCTTATTCTGCAGAGAAAGAAATTTTGCCAAATTTTCAAATAAAAAAATTATTTCTGTTATCTTTAAAAGTGAATCTAATGATTCCGAACTTATGTCTAAAAGCTATATGTCTGGGAACGGTACTTGAGATATAAAACGTAAGAATTGTGTATACGTAGTTAAGATAAATGATGAAATGAACATGCAAAAAACATACTTCAGGCAAAGAATTGTCCTACGTGCAAATGGCAACATATGCAAATAAAATCCAGCAACTAGTTGTAAGACTTTCTCGGATGTTATAAGATTTTATTTAAAAATTAACTTTTAGTATTTTAATTAGTCTACAATATAACTTAATAAAATTTTCTGTGGCGTTATATTCAAACTTTTTACATTTTTAATTACTATAAAATGGGGAAAAAAGCTAATTTTGAGAGAAGAGATGAGTTTTATAGAAAAATATAAAAGTTAATAACGTGTAAAATTGTCACTAATTCTGACCCTGCTAAAGATACACACGATTCCCTTTAATTTCCCATCTTTATTTTTAACCATCAAAATTTAACAGCATGAATGACCCTCAAATTCAAGCGACCACCATGTCGAATTTCCTTACTTAATCTTTATTTAATCTTCAGGTATTCAGCGTAATTGACACCAGCATTTCCCTCACACATTCATACATACCCGTGGCCTTTTTTTTGCCTATTTTTGACTTTTATAAATTTAGGACGTTTCAAAACGTAGAGATGTGAAAACTGGGAGGGTCAAATACGACACGATTCGAACAGTTTTTCTTTTGTTATATAACAGACGGAAAAGTAACAGAGATTTCTCCTTACAGTTGTCTAAAATTTCGCATAATTCTTATTACCAAAATAGCTATTCTTACAGAAAGAAAGTTATAAATTTAAATGAATATACCTTGTAAAGAGCAGCATCCATAGCAGGATGGGCAACTTTGTACTGAGAATTGCTTCAAAATTTCGTCACACGCATCCATTCTCGTTTTAACGCTCATTAAACTAGAAAAATAAGATTTCATCGACTGCATGATCTAGAAGTACCAGGAAATGTTATTAATTTCATGTTTAAAACAGATTTTAAATGACAAAATAATAAAAGTCGCAGGTGATGTTAAAGCAATTTCATTATGCTAATATTAATTAATATTAGGTCTTACTGATTTTCCTCTAAAACTCTATTTTCACCTGATAGTGAAGAAGAGTTGAACCGGGCCGGACACATCCCCTCTTACATTTGATGTCATCACAGTATACCAAAATCCCCTACCTTTACAGTAGCTTCTCCTTTCTTTTCGGTACAGATAAAGACTTCTGCGCTCAGTCGCCATTGTATTTAAGTCTTTTCTACCAAATTTTACAATTGTCATTCCGTTAATAATAAAATAAAAAACAATTAAATTAAACTGTCAATAAATGAAACTATTGGAACACGAGAATTATTATCAGAAGTGTAATTTACTAGACAGAGGTAAGTTAGACATCTGGCTATTGAACATACCCCTGTTAGACTAACCTCACTAATAAAAAAGAAATATAATGAATAAATATTGTTTACAATTCTAATGCGAAAGGCAGATAGAAAATTATAAATAAAAAACATTTCATCAAAAGAAAATAAAGCTTACGGTTTTTGGTATCTTTCTTGTTAGAATAACTGAAAAAGCGAAGATAATGTTCGTAACTACACCTCCATATATGAGTATCAATTTTACGATCTTTAATCCTTCACCGTACACGCCAATATAGAAAAATGTTGTAGTAATGGTCAACTGAAACAGGTAATAAACTGCTAACATTGGATTAATCATTTCATCAATATGTAGAAGAATGTCACAATACTGCGTATGTTTCTCAATTACAAACCGAAAATCGAACAGTTTTCCATTCTCTATGGCATCTTCCATCATTTCACATAACGAGGACATGTTCTCGTGTAGTGTGATGCCTATATCTAAGATGTACAGCAAAGATATAAGATAGCATCCCAAATCCTAAATATATTTCGTATAGTGTTATAATGAAAAGAAGTACAATTTGATAAACATTCTCTTCATTTACCTTTGATCCAAACATTAACGTGATAACTGTAAATACAATCACGTAAGAGCATATCAAAATCTAAATGGTAAATTTACTTAATTTGTAATGAATGAAGGCAGAAGTTTCCTTGAAATTATCCAAGTAGATTTTGTAGCTATTTGTAAATCGATTTGCGTAGATTCTTGCAATTTTCACTAAGAATTATTACAAATTCTAAATAAACAAACATCGTGAAATATAAGATTAATATGCAATAAAGAAGATAATTAGCACCAAAAAGACGATTGATTCCTCCTGTGAACCGAACTCGTACAGCGCCTTGTAACAAGACAAACAAAAGCATATTGATATTAGAACAAATGAATAATATTTTTAGAAAATACTGATATACCTTATACGTGAAGATAGTCTTTTCGTGTTTTAAAGTTATGTATATTCCGAAAATTAAACGAATTTTCTTAATTTTTGTTACTCTACATAACAAGCAGACACAGTCAAAAGGATGATTCACAATGTTGCGAATCATTTTAAAATGATTTTGGTTTTAAAACAGCTTCGAATATAAACGGTAAAATCGTATCGTATCACAGAATCCTGAATATTTAAGGCAAATATCTTGGAGAAAACATGGATTGCGTCATGATCAAATTATATTTACTCGTAGTTGAATAAACAATGCGAATATTCGCTCAGATTGTTTACAGAATGCTTACATTTTTCGAAAATTATTTGTGGAATATAATACATATCAAAAAGCATGTAATAGAAGACATTTCTACGATATTATCTCTATATCTTACTTGTTTTCTGCCTACAAATTCATCAAATGTACAGCAAAGAATTTGAATTAGTATTATGCTTCTTTATACACCATTATTTATTAATTATCTGAGCTCTATAATTAGCTCTTTTTAGGATTTATAACACGCTATTGAAAACTCACTTACAGATTGATGTTCATCAATCTTTCAGTAAGTTCTTTATGGTGTGTGATGAGTTTTAAAAAGAGCTAATTATAGTGGTCGAATTTTTAATCATGTAACTTTCTATTTCTTACACTTAAATACAAACAATATCTTACTTCGGGTTTGATTTCTTTATTTACAGACATTTACAAGTATACATTACGAATACGAAGATATATGTATGAAAATTGATGACTTTTATTCTGGAAGCAAAGAGTAACTTCCACACATGATTTTTTTTAATTTTTAAAGAGTCAGTGAGTCAGAAATCTGACTATCCACAGTGGAATCAGTATTACTTCTTTCAAATCCGCCATATTAGTTAGACCCCTGTCTAGTCAAGAAGAAGAGAAAATCGCTTTGGACTCTACCAGATTTGTTAAGATTACTTTATAAGCTACATCGTCTCACTGCTTATCTAATATAGATGGATTGTGTTCTTGGGAATCTTTTTGATCCCAAAGAGGTATTCAGCCACCAAACTACTTTCAATGTAATCAGTGTTCATTTTTGTTTCTTTGTGTGTACTATAATAGAAGTAGTGAATCTAAACTCTTCGTTTGGCTCTACTATTTCATCGCTATTGTTACAGTACGTTATAGATGTACTGACACGAATAAATTTGTTTATTTTTGTCGTTTTGTCCCTCGCTTCTGTGTGTGTTCAGCTGAAGACACGTTTTGTTAAACAAGGAAATGGTTCCGCAATTATGACAAGGATTTTAATATTAGCGTTTATTACGGCAAATATTAAAATAAACATTTTGAAATTTAAATCGTAAACTGCATTTTCAAATAATCAGATCACAGTAAAAATTCGATTAAATTGATAAAGGTCTTAGTAAAATACCAGTTCGAACTGGAATGCATTGGGATCCGTATTTTCAGAAATGATTTAAATATTTGCATATCTTAAATATTATTGTAAAATGACTTATTTTGGATAGACGTTCTTTTCAAACTAATGTCAGAATGAAGAAAGTTTCTAATGTAATGTAATTACCGTCATAATTCGGTAACCACTTTCCTATATCTATAAGAATTTAATTGTGCAGCTAGTATCAATTATTATCATGGTATCTGATGAATTTACTTATTAAACTTTTCTAGAAATATTTATATTATTGTTTTAAATGAGTTAATGTTTAAAATATAAGTAACCGCTTTGATATCCACGCAATATTTCAATAAAAATACTAATTTATTAAAATAAAAAAATGTATGTCGAATGAATAATATGCTATTCTCATTTAAGGATTAAATTATGAAATTATAGAATTAAATATATAATACTGAAAATCGATTTTTCATCTTTCTAATTTAAATTACAACGAGGAAAAATAAGATTGAAACTTACCTGTTATTTCTCCTCATAATACATTTATTATAAATACTATTATAAATAAGAACTTTCCAAGTGATTAATTGTAATTTCATTAAGAAATTAATCATAATGACATTAGTACATAAATAGATTGTATCAATACAAATTGCAGTTGCTACTTTATTGGAAAACAATATTAAAAAATAGATTTTGTAAATTGTAAATATAGTTAGAATTTGATTGTAGTTAACAAACAATATCAGTTTTCACTAGCATCAAGATTTGCCCAGGACTGCTTAGAACATTTATTTAGTTTACTGTATGCGAAACAAATGACTTTTACTACACTACAGTTTAAGAACAATTAAAAATTAATTTCGGCATTTGTGTTTAAAAATGTGTCAAAACGGTGTTATGATGATAATGACAGAGTTTTTTCAGCAGAATTTCTTCAAGTAATCAAAGAACCCACAAAAGAATATGATTAAGTTGTTATACCAGAAAATTTTGAAGCTGAAAATAAGCCTCTAAACCAGGGGTCGCCAAACTTTTTTAACCGTCGACCCCCAACCACTTTCCAACGCCTCACATTGTCCCCCACCGTAAAGTTTTGTTACAAGTGTAAGTGTGTGAGCAAAAAATAAAACGTTGTGATTTCTGTATGAGCAAAAAAAGAAAAAAAAACAGGTTCTGACCTTTTTGCCGCATAGACCCCCAATCGACCCCCTAGCCGCATCGACTCCCCCAATCGATCCCCTAGCCGCATCGACCCCCCAATGATGTCACATCGACCCCTGGGGGTCGATATCGACCACTTTGGCTACCCTTGCTCTAAACCAGTGGTTCCCAATCTTTTTTCATTAGCGTACTCCGTGACATGCCCTATCTCTAGATTGTACCCCTCATTTAAGAAATTTAGTGAGTAACCGTATTGTTAATTTTACATATTGTAACTTTAAATTAAAGAAAAAAAAAACTAAAAGAAAAAATGTATAATAAAGTTGTGATTGTTGCAAGGAACATTATTTATCTAATAATTTTTTAATACTATTAGTTTGTGATACATAATATATTATTTTTTCTGCCATAATAACTAACTTTTTTCTGTATTCCTAAACAACCGATCGCGTACCCCTAGGGGTACGCGTACCACAGGTTGGGAATCGCTGCTCTAAACAATGCAGAAATGCATTCATTGCATATCTGGTTATTCAATAACAAGTACAGAACAAACCTCAAAAACCTGTTACAAATGTATGACACCAGCAGGATCCAAAGAAAGTCCTCTATTAAAATATTCAAAATAGTTGAAATTAAAAGTTTGAAAAAAAAATTCCATGTTTTTTTGTAATCATAAAACTTTTGACACGTTTCTAGATATGTCAGATGTTTTCCACCAATATTATAATGTGAAAAACAGGGCTGTGGAGTCGTGTAAATATCTACCGACTCCGACTCCGACTCCGACTCCGGCTAAAACACCAAAATTTCACGACTCCGACTCCGACATCGATTCCACAGCCCTGGCAGGGCTGTGGAGTCGCGTAAAAGTCTACCGACTCTAACTCCGACTCCGACTTTTCCTTACCATCCAACTTCGACTCCGGCTAAAACACCAAAACTCAACGACTCCGACTCCACAGCGCTGGTGAAAAATCAAAACATTGATATAAAAAAATTTGATTTGGAAACATTTAACAAATATACAGTATTAAAAATTTAAATCCACGTAAATCCACGAGTTAGCTACAAAATTAACCATATTTTATCCCTCGTATTCACCAATACCAGTTTGATTATTGATGTAATAAAATATGGAACTGTTACATATAAAAATGCATTGTTCATTTAATTAATACTGTATTTATAATTTATCCGCATAGTTTTTTGATCTCCATACGCTTTATTACTATGAACTTATGTAATTATTATGCATATATAGACAGCTTGTAAAAAATTTTATTAAATTACTTTTTATCATACAATATCAATGCAATATAGATACAAATATGATAATTTTTATTTGGTTGATTATTATATTATAATAGCCTTGATGTTAAAAGTTTTACGTAGTGAAATAACAAAATAACAAAGAAAAGACACATCTTATTCATCAAATTTAACAAATATTTACAAAAATGAAAACTTCTTTCAATTGAATTACAGGCGGCACCATTGAATTTCTACCAGTTTGAAAAATCTTCGGTTACAACGGAATCGCTAAGAGACGACGAGAAAGAAGAAATAGATTTTGTGTTGTTTATTTATTTTGGAGTAGGCCAATTCTCCCGAGGAAAAATGGAAGAAAACTTCTCGCCCATTCGTCTTTTTAAGTAGAAGAACATTTTACTCGGTAAGTTCAATCTTTTTTGAAAATAATAGAAATATTACGGCACATGCGGGTATTAAACAGAATGTAATTTGGCTTATTAAGATTATCGCTGAATTTCGAAGAGATCGGTTTTCCCTTTTGACAATGGGAAAGAATGAATCGAATAATTCCGTAATTAATTAATCATTAAAATGGACAACGGATTCAAATGTGGATTGGCCTCGGATTGTTTACATTTTACGACCGATTTCGATGGTTCGTGACGATTTGAGTTCAAAATAATTCTTTATAATAGTTTCGAGAGAATTCATTTTTTCAACATTAAAGATGAATGAAAGAATATTTTCAGAAATTTTAGACCCACAAATTCTGAAAAATAAATTAGACATTATTGAATTTTAAATATTAGATGGCGCCATTTTTTTTTAAATTAGCAGTTAGGTTAATTAAACGAAGTCCAGCAAGGCACTTGCTGGAATTTCGTGCGGATTTCGGTTAGAGAAATGGTAAAGTATGTTTTTATTGTAAGTACTGAATAGATTCAAAATTGTTTTCCGATGAGCTAAATCTTTTACGAACAAATCGAAGGAGACGTTTCATTTGGTTGTTTTCTTCCTTTTCGTTTTCGGCCATCGTCTTGGAATCGGTTCGTCATTAAAAAAAAGAAGAGGAAAGCACAGTAAATAGGTGTAATTCACGAATCTTCGCTCGTTACTAGTGACGTATTTCTGTTTTGGTTGTCTGGGTGTAGATTATTTCAAATTTAATATGATTTACAGTCTTGAGAAAACCTCGTTGACGATTTTACCAGAAAGAAAAAACAGAAGGAAGATTTTAACGAAGCGGAAGAGGTGACTTCTCAAGTATCATTTGATGATGTACCGAATTCCCCTGGTTCTTGTAGACAGTGCTAACGAGTATTGTGGTATTTTCCGTGTCTTTCTTGACTGAAGTTTATTAAATTAGTAAGTAGATTTTCAATTTGTTGCTAAGGTGATTTTAAAAAGACTTTTCAAGAAACGATTGAGTTTGTATAACTTTTAGTTCTGCAATGAAAGCTGTATAATAGGAAAACCAAAGGGAAGTTAATTCTTCATAAAATACATTTTTACCTGATTTTCATATTTTTAAAAATTACAGATAAAACTACTTTATGTATAAACATTTGAAATACATTGATACTGTTACTGGATAAAAAAAATTAATTTGAATTCATTCATATGTCTTTGTGTCTGTATCATAAAATTTATTATATAAGTGTCTACTGGGACACATCGTATTAGTAGGTGTCCGGATTCTGCGAATTGAGGAAACTTATTCAGAAAAAAATAATTTTTAATTGTTCATCTGTTTATTTTATACAGGTTTATTATTCGAAAATATAATACCAAATTTATGTTGATCTTTTTAAATTTCAGTGTAAATGTCCACTAAAAAATGTCATTTTAACCTTATTATTATCGGGAAAATATAACATTTTATAAAATCTTATTTTAGCAAGTAGTGGCAGTAAACCTGCTGACGAGGAACAAGAGGTCCGAAACACAAAGTGTGTACAGCTGAAAAAAGTGAACAATAAAGATTGTTTTTTCTGAATAAGTATCCTCAATTTGCAGATTCCGGACACCATTATAACAAGTCCTACTAATACCATATGTCCCAGTAGACACTTATATAATAAATTAATTTGAATTAGTTTCTTTTTCAGGTTTTAAATCGAACTGCTATTTTATGGCGTGAAATGTCCGAAGAAGAATTTCTAAAATTATTAAATTTGATTTTGAAAATTTTAAATTTGACTTAGATAGTAATGTGTGACGATATTGTCGTATCTGATTTCATTCGGGACTTTTATTGCTTTCAGATTCACTACCCGCCAATCAAAAACATTCCTATTTACTACTAAATGAAGAATAGTTTCTAGAAAAACACAAGAATAGTCGATGGATGTGTTGGACTTCTGTCGTTAACGGAACACTGAAATTAAAGCCAGTGTTGTGAAATCATTACAAGAATATATCAACAAGGAAAACATCTTTCATGCGAGTGAAGAAAAAGAGAAAAATCAACGAAGATATTTTAAAACTATTTTTCAAATATTTTGTTTTTGCAAAATACATTTCATATAAATTGTTTTCATTGAAAAATGTATAAATTACATTTGTTATTAATTTGTGATATTGTTTTAGTGTGTGGGTAATACGTGTGAATAGTTAGTGTTTCTGGTGTAATGTTTTTCTTCGTGTAGTATTAATCTAAATTTTATTCAAAGAAAATAACCAGAGAAAGAAAGATTCTTTGTCTATCTGCATCCTAAGCATTCACAGTACTTTTAAAATAGTGTGATTTAAATTTAGATATTTGATTGAGAATAAATTGAAGAGAGTTTTGGTCTTTTAAACATTGGTTTTACTCTTTTTATTTATTGTATTTTACAGTTTTAAACATTGAGAAGGGAAAGAATGGGAAGTATGAATGTGACAGTTGCAAGAAAGAGTTCGCTTCGAAGTCCAATTTAAAACGTCATCAAAGGATTCACACTGGAGAACGGCTCTTTTGCAAATTCTGTAATCGTCAGTTTCTCCATTCCAGCAGTTTACGGTACCACGTCAAGACTCACACAGGGGAGAAACCCTTTAGCTGTGATCATTGCAAACGAAGTTTTGCACATAAAGGAACTCTGATTCAACATCTGCGAACTCACACAGGGGAGAAACCCTTTACCTGTGATTATTGCAAACGAAGTTTTACACAGAAAGGAAATATGATTGAACATCTGCGTGTTCATACAGGGGAAAAGCCGTTCTCGTGTACTTACTGCTTACAAAAGTTCCGTTTTAAAAGTAATTTAAATTGTCATATTAATAAATATCATAATAATAAATGACGATATTTGTTATGAATGAGCATGTTGACTAAAGTATTTATTCGTATTAATATTCGTATTTAGATTTTTTTTTGAATACAAAAAGAAGAAATTTTTGAAGTTTTATTTTTTTCATTTTGTAACTTTGATATTGTATATAAAGCAATTGCCTTTATGTACCGAAAGAAAATAGTTTCGTTGATTAAAAAATAATTCTACAAAGTTGAATTAACATGGTGTAATTTTACTGACTTATGTACATGTGTCATTGATTAATAGAGAAGAATACATGATTCGATAGAGGGTGTTACAACGCACAGTGCTTTGTAAGTTTAAAATATGGGTTCTAGCCTCTAAACATTTTTATTTACAATTTTTAATGTCGATCAACGTTAAAGTTTTCCTAGAAATTGAATTTTCATTTTAAAAAAAATTTCAAAGAAAAAATGTATGGAGAAAAATTCTAATTTTTGTTTTGCTTAAGAGCCTGTACACACTAGGCGTTTTTCAACGCGCGTTTNATTTTTAATGTCGATCAACGTTAAAGTTTTCCTAGAAATTGAATTTTCATTTTAAAAAAAATTTCAAAGAAAAAATGTATGGAGAAAAATTCTAATTTTTGTTTTGCTTAAGAGCCTGTACACACTAGGCGTTTTTCAACGCGCGTTTATAGATTTTTGTTAAAACGCGCGTTTTGCAGGCGTTAGCCGAGCGCCTTGAGATATTTGTGTTGAAATGGAGAACGATCATTTTGATATTTATCTATTTATTGATGAAATCTAAAAGAGACCAACCATCGTCAAAGGATTTTATAGATATTTTAAAAGATTTAAAAAACTTGAATTTATTTTGTCTTAGTTTTGGATACAACGTCGCAAACATTTCATGCCTCAGTCTATCTCGTAATATTGGGTGCACCCAAAATCTGCCGTCGTCTTTTACAGCGACGATAGAGGAGCCACACACAAGCAATCACTTCCACATCCATTTCCAAACCGAGCCAGTGCGAACGCTCCGCTAAGCGCTCGGCGAACGCCGAGCTAACGCGCGTTTAAAAACGCCTAGTGTGTACACAGCCTAAAAGTACTAAAAGTCAAACTAACCACACGTACTAGTTGGTGCTTTATGTACTACACGATGACAAAAATTAGTTGCTAAAGTTAAAAACCACTGCGATGGATTTATTATGGTTACAAGTTCTGGACAGCCTAATTTGCACCACGTCAGGATGACACCACTATGTCAAGTGACAAAAATCGCGATAGTGGTCGCTTATTTAGGCAGTCGTATCCGGGAGGAAAGAGACGGCGCGTTTTAAGGAAGTGCATCAAACAATTTCAGCAATAACAAATATCTGTTTATTAACTGTAAGCAATTTACAATTAGACTAAACATACGCTGTTTATAATTGGACGGTTGAACATTTCGGCGATTCCTTTATAAGGCTAGTATTTTGTATTAATGGCTTAATAAAGAGCGAAAGTTTACATAAATTCGCGGACGGATAAATACCTTGCAGAGGATCTGACGATGCGCTTCGTTCCCGATCGGGTTCAAGACTTGAATTGACGACACGACGAATTGATCATTCGGAAGTTTCGATGGATGGCTCTGGAAAGACTCGGTATATTTTGCAAGGTCTTGATATTCGGACTATTCAGGTGCCAAGAGGGTTGTCGGAGAGAGGAAAGTTTCTTAGGAATCTTCGGTTTTGGTAAGGTATTCCAGCGCTCGTGCAACTCCGGCGAAGGCGAACTTTCGATGATGACGGATTACCATCGTCATCGATCCCTCCCTTTTATTGGGAAGTACTTTTCGTTTTTTCTATTGTCCTTTTTTGGTAATGTTATAGGTCGTGGCCAATAGACAAATTTCGGTTGAAGTTTCGGGTGGCCATTCGGATGATGTGTCGTGTCACCTTTGAAAGGAAGTGAATGCGGTAATTAACGCAGTCATATTTTTTCATCTTATTATTAAATGTTAAGAAAACTTTATATAGTTTTTTTGCGTTTAATAGAAATTTTAAAACGTTATTTGTTTGGTTTTGTAATTCTGCAAAAGCTTATAGTTAAATACAATCTGGCTCTCACAACTGCGTCACACCATACACACGAATTGTTTTCCGGTGCTTACAATTATTACGAACGAACACAAATACAACCACAAATTATATAATTTATACATATAAATATATTTTTCTTGAACCAATTTATACCAAGAATGTTTTGCATAGATTCTCCAATAATCTTTGCAATACATTTGCAAATATAACATAGGTATGATGAGTCGGTCATTTTTTACAACAATGCATTCATAATATTTAAGTTCATCTTTATAAGTAGAACTTTTTTATCGGGTATTGTACACTGTACACTGAACTGAACTGAACTGAATTAAAGATCAGAAGGCTGTCTTTCGACTTAGCCTGATTTGGAAAGGAAGGAAGGAGGGGTGTAGCAGGTGGGGATAAAAGTCTGAGGAAAGTGGGAAGGAAGGAAGAAAGATTAGAATGGGAATCCCATGGGCGTCATGCATCGCGTTTATTAACAGAGATAAAAATAAAAGGGAGTACCGAATAGTGGTCGCTATGGACCAGTGCTTGATGCACTTTACAATTGCTTACAGTGGTTACAGAATGAGAGATAGTGCTGATTGCACCTTACAAGCAAAAAGGTATACAATTATAGGTAAGGTGCATGATGCCGGAAAGAATACAGTTTGAAGCCAGAATTAGGAATGTAATACAAATTGTGGAATTACATTGAAGAGTGCGGCTTGCACTTAACAGGGTTGAAATCCGAGTAAGTTTAACAAAGCCAACTTGCGGCGGAGATAGGCCAAAAGTACAGGAGGCAATGTGCTTCCAGATGACAAAGGAAAAGATGCTTACAGATGATGAACGACAAAACGATGGCTACAAAGCCGTCGCGGCACGATCAATACAGAGCACTGTGGCATGAGAGGGGAGTGCATGTAAGCACTTTACAGAGATGTGGTAAGTGAACAAAGAAATTAATACAATAAACATGTAGAATATAATACAAATATATAAAAACAAAATAATATGTGACAAGCGAATAGAAAACATAGAAATATTTACAGAGTTTACATTGGTGCCTAGATTGAAGCCGTAGGATGACACTACTCAAGAGTCAGTTGGTGAAGTCTTCGTCATCTTCATGGTCTGATCGCGTGGAAAAGTCGTTGGCGAATGCGTTGCAGGAGTTGACAAACTTCAGGAAGTGGTCAAAGCTATCCTTATGGGCGCACAAATAGTCTAAGTTCGGCGGCCACAATTGTCCATGGGAGTTGCAGAAGCTTATGAGGTCACTTCTGTAAAGCTCGTAGAGAGGGCAGTCGAAAAGAATGTGGAACGAGTCCCCGACAGAGGAGTTGTCGCAGGAGCACGTAGCATCGCTTCTTCTCCCGATCCTATGTAGATAGGATGGGATATTCCCATGCCCGGTTAGGCATTGAGTTAGGTAGAATGATGGTGTGATGTACTTATACCTCTGGCGTTTGTGAATAGAAGGCAGAAAGCTAAACGTCGTTCGGCCAGTTGTAGAATTGTTCCACTCGCCTTCCCAGAGGTCGATGCTTCTGTCGTGCAGATGGTTGCTTACGTAGCTGGTCGGTATTAGTCCGAAAGACGGGCTTATTAGGAGTTCCGTGGCTCGTTTGGCCAGCTTGTCCGCCTTTTCGTTGCCTGGAATGTTGTGGTGTCCAGGCACCCATCTAAAAGAGATGTTTTTTCGTTGGCTTAAGTTCATTGCAAGGTGGTAGACCTTAATGCCAGTGGCGGTCAGCTTCCTGGTGCCCCTGATGACACTGAGTACGTACCGGCTGTTTTTATGTCGGTTTATTTTTTTACGTTCGGCATGTGTCAACTGTGTAAGTTATGTACATTCTTCCGACTGTGCCCAGCGGTGTCGGGCGAATAAAGAATAGTTTGTCTGTCTGTCTGTCCGTGAAGAAAGTTATGCCACCTTTGAAGTTACGACAGTGATTGGTAACAGTGGCGAGTGCCTTCCACATAGCCCACAGCTCCGCTTGGTTGTTGGAGCAGTGGATGCAAAGCTTGTGGTACTCTTCATGGACGATTTTGTTAGTAGAAGTCTTGTAGATAACAAAGGCAGACTCGGTGCCCAGGTCGTTCTTAGCGCCGTCGGTGTAGACGTGCCAATCCGCTACAATCTTCGGGATTGTAAACGGTGCTGATGATGTCATTAGTGGACCTTGCAGGGTGACAGAGCATAGCAAAGGTAGTGATATGTTTGTCAATGCCGTGGAGCTTGATTTAGTTGACAATTTCGGCAGAGGGAAGGTGGTTGTTCGTGACAAGGTTCTGTATTTTATCAGTATCGAGGTCTTGAATATTGTCTTGCAGAAGGTGCCATTTCCAGACTCTGGTTTTAATTTTGATGTTGATAGGAGTCATTTTGGCGATTGTTAGAAAGGCGTCGGTTGACGCTGTCCGATACGCTCTACAGACACGAATGGCGAAACCTCTTTGAATGGACAGTAGTTTCCTTTTATTATGTATAATGTCGACTCTGTTGCCCCAGATTTCAGCTGCGTAGAGCAGGGCGGGCTCGATTGCCCCACTATAGATTAGCCTGCAGTGCTAAGCAGAAAGGCCCCAGATGTTCCTAGCGATATGATTTATCATATTCGCTTTCTGCTTAATTTTGTGACAAGTCTCTTCGATGTGATAATTCCAACTCAAGGTTGGATCTATGTGCACATCAAGGTATTTAATATGAGGTTTCATTTTTATTTTCTTCCCTTTCATGTACACTGTACAGTGATACTTTGGTATTCGTCGATAATCCGTCCGAGAACAATCGACGAAATCCGAAACCGACGATAACCGAATTTAACGAAAACTGCGGTATTACTCTATATTACACCCGAGTAGGATTTCGCTTTTCTCAACCTTCATGCAATTTAGCCGTTGGCACTCTCCATATCAGATGTAAATTAATACTTCTGATAAAGCCTAAAAATCCTAAGACATTTTAGTTATTAAAATTTTCAAAAACGGTAAGAATTGTTCTGATTATTATTTCACAATAATAGTATAAGGATCTGCGTCATAGAATCGTTTGTCTTATTTTTTTTTATTCGAGATCGAGCTCGAGCTCGGAGAGTTTTCTCAATTTAGGGTAATTTTCCGAAGTTGAAATTGGTTCGATTGTTTTAGTTAGAATGACTAATGTTGATAGGGGACGTGCAGTTCCCAGAAATGTTTTAACTGTTGTTACGAGCATTAATCCATCGGGTCTCTATCAGTTAGGAAACAAGGAAAGTCTTCTCGATCGATTTTATGCTCGTAGTGAATTAACAAATTCTACAGTAACTTTATTAACATTCAGAACGCACCTTCAACTTTATTATCATTTCGCTCAGCATCCATCTGAACATCTGGAAGTAAGCGATGGTTGTCACTGTAGAAGATACTGTAATTGATAAAAATGCAAATGTCGCTCAAAGAACATAAAATGTACGAATAATTAAATGTTGTCGTAAAGTAATGAAGTTAAATTTCTGTATGTGGTGAATACTTTTGTTACCTGCGTATATTAGATGATTGAAGATAAATAAATCATAATGAAAAAGAAAGTTTTATTTTTTTATCATCACCTCGTTACTAGTTAACATTTTGAACGTGTAATGGCTTTTAACCATTATAAATCCGTCGCACAGTGGTTTTTAACTTTAGCAGCTGATTTTTATTTTATTGCGTATAATATCAATATCTCAAGCACCTACAAGTATATGTAATTAGATCTTTAGCACTTTTTAGCAAAACAAAAGAAACAAATGTGTATTTTTCTTCATATATTTTATTTCTTTGAAATTTTTTTAAGTATAAAAATTAAATTTCTAAGAAAACTTTGTAGAATTAATGTTGTTTGGCATTAAAATAAAAGTATACCGTGTAAATAAAAGTGTTCCGAGCCTAGAATCCATATCTTAAAGTTACAAACCACTGTGCGTCGTATGATCCTGTATCGTGGTTGCATCAGCTAACGTTCAGAATGAGTTATGGCTTTTCTTAATCACCACAACGCGTAGTGGTCAAATATCATGAAAGCCACGACACAAATTTCGCTTCGTGGCCGTTTTGAAACGAACACGATGCGTTGTGGTCGTTTTTTTCCCGCTCAATCAGCCATTTCGGCCTTTGAGCATAACATACACATTTAACGATGTAAAATCATTACAAATTATTGTATTATGACATAGTATATATTAAATTTTATCGAACGTATATTTACAAGATATAAAAAAACAATATTAAAGACGTTACAAGTGAGCGGAAAAGAAAAGAATTTGGTCCCTGTTTTAGAGCAGCAATCGATTTTGACGATGCACAAACAACGTGGAGAAATCATTTCTGGAATGACGAGTGATCTTGAAGACATTCACGAAAACACTACTTTCGAGACAGATGTGAAATAATCGACATCTTTCGTTCTATTCCCAGAAGTAAGAATCGATCGATATGAATTGGAATGTGTCTTGTGTCAAGTTAAATTTTGACGACGAAGTTTCTCTGCAATAACACAAAAAAAGTATTATTAAGGAACATTTTCAATTTTAAAAACGTTGAAATACTTTTTATTTTACGATTGTTCTTTTTAAAATCTTTCGATTTTAAAATTTCAAAATCATATTGAATTAATGTTAGTAACAAAATAACACACGTTATTTAATATTTAAAATTGTAGTGATTTAAATCAAATATATTAATAAATTATCAATTACTGTGTTTTAATAAAGTTTAGAACTATTTCTTTTTAAACATTACCAAGTAAAAATAATGTAATTTGGAGCATTATATGGAGTTTATGTATTGTTTCTGTATAGACACAAATTATGTGCATAAAGACATTAATTTTTTAAAGTTATAGAGTCGTAGAGAACATTTATGCACAGAATTAGTAGTCTGAGGCCAGCTTCAATCTGTCAGTGAGAAATATCGAGACCTCGAGTATAAACGCTGAAAAATTTGATATGAACAAAGTTTTAATCTAGAGTAGGAGAAAAACGCTCAGAAAAGTATGTTGTTATTAAATATTAAAGAAAAAATGTTTATTTTAATTAAAACAAAAGTTTTAAACAGTTTTTGTGTTCTCGCCTTGGATGGTTCCTAAATGGTTTCTTTCCATCATGATAGCCAACTTTACAGGAGCATCCCATCTCAGCAAATGTCGGCTTTTTCGTATAAGTTCGTTATTTGCTGGGAAACTGCCATTCGTGAATAGAGTAAGTAAAACTAATTTTAAAAATTAAACATGAAAAAACATAAAATAGAAATAAATTTAATGACATAAAAGATATTTAAAAGTAATATATAAAAGATACAATGATAAAAATACAAAAATACAAAAATTGAATAATAAAAATACAAAAATACAAAAATTGAATAATAAAAATACAATAATATAATATAAAAAATACAAGACAATACGAAAAAATAAAGAAAATACTGGTGGAGGAGGACTATCCAGGTTTACTTTAATCCAGTTTCTGGCAGTGGGGCCATCTCCATTGTCGCTATTACAAGTTCTGAGAATTGATAATTACATGAAGGTGCTTAGAAGTTCTTTTTAAATGCTTTTATATGTAAATAATTTTACAGAAATATGAATATCATATCACCGTGCATGATTGTTTACTATTGCATATATGTTTACAAAAATTCATAAAATTCAAGATTTTGAAAAAATCAAAAACTTTATGTATAAACATTCGATCAATATGTTATATGTTACATACATAGGTCTATTTTCTCCAAAAAAACTGCAGCTTTCTAAATAGACGTAGAGGTATAATATGACCCACTCTACATACCCGAGTCGATGCTTATTCGTTGAAGGAGAGTCAATTAGCTATAAGATACCTATTACAGCTCAACAGGCATTTGAACGAAGGTTTGTTTCATCCAATAAACAAAAGAAGAGTGTTCCATAGATATAACATGGATAGGAGGTGTTTTGTACAAACTGTAATCAAATCTGTAGCGATCTAAGCTTTGATTTGTTGTCTTCTATGTGTTATTTGACTGTCTCAACCAATAAATGTTTTGTCACCACCTCTGGGCTATAAATATTTGGCGAAATACAGTCCTCTTCCAGTGTAAAGTAATTAGAGGCGAGGAGGTAGGTTATTCAACACTGATTCTAACACTGATAGTCAACTTCTTTTACACTGTAGTTGGTTACTTTCTGTCTATCTTGATATATTAGATAAACGAATGAGCAACCTGTGAAAACAATGGAGCTCAAATTTCCACTGAAGTTCCATCCAACTGAGGTTACAATCTTTGAAATATGCAAACAATCGCTATAAAATTGCTTTTTTCTATCGTTTTTTAGCTCTAATTAGCTAATTTGTTGTTCTTAGACAGTAGAGTCGTTTATCCGAATCAATTGGGGACTGGGGTTGTTCGGATAACTTATTTTTCGGATAACCGATTATATACGAAAAAATGTATTAATTTAACCTATCCCGTGTTGAAATTTTTCTCTTTTGCGTTTCGCTTCGCGTTGAATTTTCGTAGATGTAACCTAATGTAGCCTAATGTAAACTTTTTAAAATAATAATCGTGGCTATTGTATCGTTAAAAATTATTTCTTTACTTTTTACAAACAAAATAAATATATTGAAAAATATAAAAACAAAAAAATTATACTTTAGAAGTTAATCTAGTATCAAAAACGTTNATAATCGTGGCTATTGTATCGTTAAAAATTATTTCTTTACTTTTTACAAACAAAATAAATATATTGAAAAATATAAAAACAAAAAAATTATACTTTAGAAGTTAATCTAGTATAAAAATGTTTGATTCAGCATGACACACAAGATTGCTAGTGCTGCCAACTGAAACACACACATCAATCAAAAAAATATTGGAGTAGCCTAAGATATAGCCAAAGATTGCAGCGCCACAGCACTACGAGAATTTAAATTTGCCGACTGGAATTCTTTCGGATAACTTAATCAATACCTGATTACTGGCTGAGAGATTTATTCTTAAAACAAACGTTTTCAATCCAATCAATGGATCATCAGGTTTATTAGCACACTTCAAAAATAGAACAACAAGTTCAAAATACAAAATATAAATATCAATAACGGATAACATATACAATATTAATAGCCAAATAATGTTTGTAAATACAGTCGACCCCCCTATAATTACGGTCCCTATAGTTACGATTCCTATAAAACTACGAAAAAATTGCTACCGGTATCCGTAAAAAATAGTAAAAGTTCCCTATAAACACTTCAAACGTCATCGGGAAGCCGAACTACTTTCCCGCCGTCCGTNATATCCTGAGTTATTACAGAAATTATATGTAATTAGACCTTTAGCACTTTTTAGCAAAACAAACGAAACAAAAAATGTATTTATCTCCATGCATTTATTTCTTTGAAATTTTTTTAAGTATGAAAATTAAATTTCTAGAAAAACTTGTAGAATTAATGTTGTTCGGCATTAAAAATTGTAAATAAAAATGTTCCAAGCCTAGAATCCATATTTTAAAGTTGCGTTTTATGATCCTGTATCGTGATTGCATCAGCTAACGTTCAGAATGCGTTATGGCTTTTCTTAATCACCACAACGCGTAGTAGTCAAATATCATGAAGACCATGACACGAATTTCGCTTCGTGGCCGTTTTGTAGCGACCACAATGCGTTGTGGTCGTTTTTTCCCCGCTCAATCAGCCATTTCGGTCTTTAAGCCTAACATACACATTTAACAATGTAAAATCATTACATATTTTGGTATTATGACATAGTATATATTAAATTTTATCGAACGTATATTTACAAGATATAAAAAAAACAATATTAAAGACGTTACAAGTGAGCGGAAAAGAAAAGAATTTGGTCCCTGTTTTAGAGCAGCAATCGATTTTGACGAAGCACAAACAACGTGGAGAAATCATTTCTGGAATGACGAGTGATCTTGAAGACATTCACGAAAACACTACTTTCGAGACAGATGTGAAACAATTGAAACTTTCGATCTATTCCCAGAAGTAAGAATCGATCGATACGAATTGGAATGTGTCTTGTGTCAAGTTAAGTTTTGACGAGGAAGTTTCTCTGCAATAACACAAAAAAGTATCAATTAGGAACATTTTCAATGTTAAAAACGTTGAAATACTTTTTATTTTACGATTGTTCATTTTAAAATCTTTCGATTTTAAAATTTCAAACTCATATTTAATTAATGTTAGTAACAAAATAACACACGTTATTTAATATTTAAAATTGTAGTGATTTAAATCAAATAACCAAGTAAAAATAATGTATTTGAAAATCTTTCGATTTTAAAATTTCAAACTCATATTTAATTAATGTTAGTAAGAAAATAACGTACATTATTAAATATTTAAAATTGTAGTGA